AGAAAAATTGCATATGTTATCACTTATACATGGAATAAAAATAAATAAATAAATAAAAAACCACAAATGAACTCATTTCTGTATCTATCAATGTGAGCCTTCAGATGAGACCATGCTGATTACAATCTTGTGAGAACTTTTGAAGGAGAAGTTGCTGACCCACAGATACTGTGAAATAATAAGCTTGTATTGGTTTTAGGCTGCTAAGTTTTGAGACAATTTGTTATACAGCCAGAGATAGCTAATCAGATTAGGTAATTTTGCATGAATTTATTAATGCATAGAACTTGAAAGGTGCATTTCTCTGGCATTTTCTGAAGACATTTATTTTTCTTTTGGCAATGCAGTGATTTATCATTAGCAAAGTATACTTTCTTCAAAAATAAATTTTTCTTAGCCTTCAAAGATATAATTACCCAGATCTAAGAATAATCAAATCTTCTTGAAATCTTTTTCATTTTTTAATGTAAAAGAGATATTAGAGAGATGATTCCATCATATATTATATGTAAAGGTTAAATATGCTGTGATTTATTTATTGTGCTCAGTTGGTTTCCCACATATTCTATTTTGTTGTTTCTAAAATAAGTTGCTTATCTGTGGAACTTTCCATTTCCTATTTCTTGTAGTGCCTTTTTGATTGTGTATTCTGTTTTGGTTTTGGGCACATCACTGAGGTTATTATTCTTTGTCTACGTGATCTCTCAGCTAATTTTATGACCACTTTTTTTTCTTTGTGTCTCATTACAGTTTTCCTTTGATTTACTGGATTTTTTTTTTTCTCACAGTGATAGATGAACATGTCTTCTTTTACTTTGTATGATTAGAAACTTGTATTCGAACAAGACAAGATAAAACAAACAACAACCACCAAAACAAACAAACAAACAAACAAAAACTCCACAGAGACCACTAAGGGGTTACTATTATACGTCAACAAAATCACTTGAGCACATTTATGTTACAGTACAATAGCAGATCATTTGTAAAAACAGGAAACTCAAGAACAGCTTTTTTGAAAGGAAAAACAATTGGATGTGGCTGAAATGAATAGAATTTAGAAGTTACAAAACCAGCATCATTAACCTAGAATTTCTGTCTCTAAACCTTCATGAAAGAAGTAGGTGGTCAATATCTTAACTAGGAAGAGAGTCATGGAATCAAATAAAATATGCTCAGTTTTCAATAGGTGAGGATTAAAAGGAGAGAAGAGTTTTATTATTTTAAGAGAGTTTCATACTAGAGAGAAAGCAATTGCTGTTCCCTTTTCTCCTATTGATGAGTTACATTACATCTCTATGTAATTAAATGTTTATTGTAATCTGGTCTAAACCTTTCAATCGAAAGAAAACTACTGTATTTTCAGAACCCTCATCACTTGGTAATATATGTCTTTGTGTATAACTATAACCCGGAGCTTAATTATGTGTCTTCAATACAATGCAGATGAAATTACTAATTATTTGAACTTGGCAGTCCTTACTATCAGATATAAAGAGATAACAAAGGGAAAACAACAAGATGGCTTTCAATCCTAAACAACTCAATCACTTACTTTCATTTTTTTAAGTTATTTTCTGCACACGAACTAGCCCTCAATTCAGCAGGTCCATTCTGTTATAAATGATTAATATCCTGATTACATGCATGTCCAAGTGTTAGTTTGAGCCAAATGAAATCACAAATTTCTTAAGAGAAAAATGGTTTAATAGCAGTAATTCTATATTGCTCAAGCTAGCAAGATACCTGGTTTCCAATCATCCTTTTAAGAAATATTGACCTACATTTGGATTATTGTTTGCTTGAAAGGAGTATTTGTTTCCCACATTGTTTTTAAAACCCATTGAACACTCTTGCCTTTGAAAAGATTTTATCTTTTCTAAGTTGATTTATAATCATATTTTTAGCGTATGTCTAGACTTAAGACAACACAATATTATACATAACACCAACTAGGTTACCTCTTGACCCAGGTTTGGACCTGAGCTGGTGCAGGCTTACCTGTTTCAGATGTCTGCAATTTTCTGTGAGAACATAAATCAGCCTTTTTAAGCCAGAACTGAACTTCTCTTGTCATCAGTGGAACATTTGGTCAGGCTGATTTTTTTTTAATTGCAGGTATAGTATATGCTCACTATAAAAAACTTATAATGTATAATTGTGCCAAATGGAAAAAAATAAACACCAATTTCTACATAGAATACCTAAATTACTATTTTGATATATGTTCTCCTAGTTTTTCTTCCCTTTTATTTATATAAACCAATATATGCACTTGTATCATATATTGTGTGTGTGGCCAATTGCATAGAAAAACTATATGGTTGATCTACCTGTTAATGTATTCTTCTTATAAATTTTTATTACTGTAGTATCTTCTATTGCTCTGCATATATGAATATTTTGAGGTAAACACTAACCTATTAATAAAATTCTCTCATATTGATTTAGAAATATGAGTATTTGTAGATTCCTTTAACGCCAGTACACAAATATGTGCTTCAACTCATGTAAAATCAAACATAATCAAAATGAAGCTTTGTCTACTGATCTAAAGACAAAACAGAAATTAGCTAGCTACTTAATTCAATAAATAAAGTAAAAATAGAAAGAGCAAAAGATTCCAGAATAATTTAACTACATCTTAATGAACGTGAGAAAATAATTGCTACGACTACAATTTAATTTGGACTAGGCAAGCTAGTGTTTCTCAAATTTTCATAAAATGGTATTTTAGTGGATCTTTTTTAGGTGTAACAGGAAAAAAGGCGTGCAGTAACCAAATAATTTTGGACATGCTTAGTTATCGTAAGTGAAGCAGGTTATTTGTTCTCATTGTTGTTTATTATTGTGTATTTTTGTTTGTTCCTAGCACAGACATTCTCAGATCCTTTAATATGCTAATACACATTGCAAATATCTAATAATAGAAAGTAGGATACAACATTTCCCAAAATTTTTGGCCATGGGACTCTTCCATTCCTTTTATTTAGAAGATCTGACAAGTGTTTCAATAAACAATTCCTGACAAATAATGTGTGTAAACTATTGGAGCGTATTTTCCTTGAATGTTTAACATGCTGTTGTTTTTTTTTTTAATAGTTTCTACTTTGTGGTTTACGTAGACTAGACTAGAAGCCTTATGCAAAATTTTCTAACATGATAGCCTCATATGGCTTTAAATTCTTTAAATTCAGTGATCTTTACTCCTCTGACTCTTTCATCCCCAAGGTATTTGGACATCAATTTCTACTGCTTAAACTCTGAAATATTTCTCTTTTATCACCTCCTCTATTTTGCTTCTTTCACTTTTTTACTTAACTGAGCAAATTCCCAATTACTAGACATCACAGTCAGTATTTTAATGCATCTCTTCTTTCCTCAACTTTGGCTTTATCAATGTAACCAAATGGAGCTCTTCTTAAAGTTATTATAATTAACAGCCAAGGCTTAAGGCCACTGCTCTGTGAATTTTCTGTTAGTTATAGCAACAGATTTTTCAATTCTAACAACACCTCAAAATCAACAAATCAGAATCTTTAATCTTCTATCTATTCTTGATTCTATTAAGTCCCAATCAATGTATAACTTTATATATTTTTGCCTCCTTCCTCAACCATAACCCACAATTTCAAACACTTTCCTACAGGTAATATGGCTGAGCACCCCTCCTGTCTTCCCCCCTGTAATCCCAATGGCAGCTACCCTTTAGTGCCTCATTCCCTCCTACCTACGCTCTCAAATAGCACCTATTCAGTATACCCTTCAAGAATAATAGTCTGGAAAAGTTTTGATCATATAATTGCCAATTTGTTGCCTATTTAAATTAAATACAAGCAAATGCAACGTTCGTCACTTTTCCCAAGTCAATTTCCTTTACCCAGACTAGACTACTCAGATCTCTTGCTCATTCATTAATCTTTGCACTTCTTTACTTATGCTTTTTCTCTCTACCTATAATTTTCCAAGTCCTTCAGTGTCCAAAATAAGATCTTTGATATCATGCACATAGTTTCAAATCTCACTGTATTATCATGGGAAATTTGCTTATCCTCTCTTGGCCTCAGTTTTGTTTTGTTTTAATCTTATGGTTGAGATGATAATATTTATCTCAGCATTGAAATGAGATAATGATTGCAAAGTCCCTGGCTAAATATAGATCCTCAAAAATGTTAGATTTCTTTTCTGACATTCCTTTCCATATAGATTTTTTTTTTAATTCTGTCATGTTACTTTTTATTATCATCATCATCATGCAACTCTTTTATGGCCGTATATCATGCTTCCTCAATAAGCTCTTTTAACATGTATTATGTTCATCATTAGGATTGTCAAATATTAGTTGAATGGATTTTGCTAAATAAATTATAAAATTCTCTATTGAAGTACAAATCAAAATCTTGAAAATTTAAAATTCTGAAGGATTTCATGTGAGCTCCTAATCTGTAGATGAAAAAGAATGCTATCTAACTTTGGTATTTAAAAAGAAAATACAAAAAGAAGAGAGGAAGAGAGAGAGGAAAGAAGGAATGAAAGGAAGGAAGGAAGGGAGAGAGAAAGGAAGGAAGGAAGAGAGAAAGAGAAAATTTAAATCTGGTTTTTAAAAAGCAAAACGTGTATACAGTTTAAGATAAGACACTGATAGAATCAGAAAACAAGTTTTATTCTCTGCCTACAACATTAACGATAATGGTAACACTAGGAGGCTGTGAACGAAAAATATTGCAAACCCTATCAGTAAACAAAGAATGCTGAAACCATCAAGTCATCAGCGGCCACACCCCTATTGAAGACAAGCCTGCAGCCCAGCCTCTGCAGCCACTCACAATGGTG